CTTTCTAAAATAATGTAGAATCATTGGCATCAAAATTCCAAAAGTTATTTGCAAATAGGCTTACTTTTATATTGAATTCTATTGCAATTTGCCTACAACAACCAGAACTTTGCGTGCTAACAAAACAGGTTCCACCATTATTGCTAATCTGGCCTGCTGTGGAATCTATAAATCCGCAAATTGAAATATTTAGTCCTTTTGATAAATTTATATGAGATGTCAAGAATACAAATAGTGCAAAACTAAATCATCTCGCAGTATTTGCTTTACTGGCTTATTTAAATTCATAAATGACGTATTATGAGTGACGTTTTAGCTATGAACTTCTATCCTGCATGCATAAGTTTCCCTACCACTTATTATTGAACTTGTAAAAGCAAACCTTTTGTCTCCTTGAGGAGAACAGGTAGAGGGAGATGCCTGCAAACTGTGCAGAAGAAACATATATATATGGTTTCCGTTATGGAGACGCAGCTACCGAATTACTGGCACCAAAACTCTGAAAAATAGTGGCTAAAACATTCTTTGCCGCAACATCGTGTTTAAAATTCATCACTTGTTATATAATTCCGACTCAAGTGAAGGATAAACTACCAAGTCTGGCTACTTCAGTGTGCATTTATAAATCTAACTGTTCACGTGGGGAGAGACACTTACATAGGTAGAACAACTCGGGTAGCCTACCGTCATCTTCTTATGTATTGTCCCAAGTACTTCCATACCGGCACACTTAGTGAAAACGGAGCAAAAGATTGATAAAAATTCAACTTCTACAATTCTATACAAGGTCCCATGTCAACTCCGTAGGTTGGTACGTCTCCGATTGCTAAGCCTAGTTGAGGTAGTTACCACAGAACAGTTTCAACCCATTCTCTGTGTTCAGAAGAATTTTGTCCAATCTATCTCCAACTCTTGGCCTTCACTCTCAATGTAAAATAGTTACATCTCCCAGGGACACCAGATAACTGTAAATATTATCTTCTACACTCAGCATAAGGAACAAGATTCGCATTCCCTACACCAATGTGAAGTCGGTCATTCTATACGGGTCAGAAACTTGGCGTGTAACGAAATAAGTTTCCAAAAGGTTGCAGACTTTCATCAACAGCTGCCTTTGCTGGCTGACTCCATACTGAAGATCAAATAGTCAGAAAGAATTGGTAACAAGAAACTCTGGCTGGGAACAAACCAACCAACAGTCGCTCGCTCAGCAAATATGTAGGTGAAAATGGAGATAGATTGAGCATACATTGAGGAAACCGTCGAATGACATCGCGCACAACGCAGGCCATCACTCAAGTAGAATCCAAATGGGAAGCAACGAATGAGTCGTGGGTTCAAGGGTGACATGGAGGAGATCGTGTGAGGAAGAGATGAGAGAGTTTGGTCAATCGTGGATCCAGCTGAAGAGGGTGGCAGAAAATAGAAGAAAGTGGAGATATGTTGTTAAAGCCCTATCTCCCACTTGGAACCCAAGGGAATAATAATATTTTACTTGTACTGCTAACTGTATTATGAATACCATGGTGTGCTGTAGTTGTACATTTTAATCTCGGCTTCACAATTTATTATTTTTGTTATATTATCTAATCCCCCTCCACCCTCACTGGTATACACATTCTCTACCTATACACTCGCCATTATCTTGGTTATACAAATACTTGAATGAATTTATCCTTGTTATTATCATTATTATGATTCCCTCGATTGTTATCCATCAGTTCATACGCCTGAACTCTGATGCCATTTTACTAAACACATTAGTGAGAAGTCGTAACCAGCTGGGTCCATCGAATCAGCCAAGAGAATATGGCAGTGGCTGGCAGTTATGCTAAATATATCACGAATTGGCAGTAGTTGGAATTCATGGGCCATCGATTCGGGCCTCAGTGGCTAAATGATCTACGAGCTCGCCTCATAAACTGAATGTCCTGGGTTTGAACTCCGGTGGGTGGGTACTGCAGATGAGTCCCAAGCAGTTGGCTCAAAACATCTCTCCAGTACACCCTGGTGGTTTTCAATAGTTCTCTAAATGGTATCAATGTACGATCAAACTTTAGACAAATCAAATTCCTAAAAACTTACTGCTGAAAATACTTTTTCTAAAATTATTATGGATATATCCATTTTCTCTTAGGCATTTCTCGAGGACTCTCGCAGATCATGCACATGGTCCGGGGTTCGATACCCTGCCGGCGCACACCTGTTTTCAATGGTCGGCATGCAAAATTTGGCCTACGGATATCACATGCTGAAAATTCCATACTTGTACTAAAAATACTGTGTGGTTTCAAGCTATAATCAAAAAAATTCTTCTTCGACCTTGTTTGGTGAACATAGCTTTCTGGCTCTGTCGTACAAAGTCCTCACTAATCCACGTTTATAGATTATGGGACAAAAGCTGTTATAGTGAAGATATTGCCCAGTCCAGGTTTCTTTTCTATAGATGGACTTTTCGATCGTATCTTCGTTTGTTCTTTCTACATTTAGATCAGCTAACCATCGAGCTAGCTTGTGGCATGGTGAGTCAATCATTGACAGGATTGGTCTTAAGGGCACATTTGCTTTATGTATGGCATACTAAAAATCCATAAAGCAAATGTGCCCTTAAGACCAGTCCTGTCAATGATTGACTCACCATGCCACAAGCTAGCTCGATGATTAGCTGATTCTATAGAGCCGATTTGAATTAAATTTGCAACCCATAGCCTGAAGGATAGCTATCAATTTTCCAAGGAAGTAGACAATACTGATATATCAGACAAAGTCGTGGTATCGTACGACGTGACCTCCTTGTTTACAAACGTACCACTGATGGAAACAATTGACATCATTTGTAAACAAACAGATCTACTACCATTACCTGAAACAGAGATGAAGCGACTACTGCTGCTCTGCACAAAAGATATACAATTCAAATTCAACAACCAACTTTACCGACAAATTGATGGGGTCGCGATGGGTTCGCCTCTGGGACCTATTCTGGTTGATATCTTCATAGGCTACCTCGAACAGACACAAGTGAGTTCTGCTATCAATGGAACAACCTACTATTGCCGATATGTTGATGACATATTTGTTGTTTGCAGTGACATGGATCACGCATCGGCATTATATGATCACCTAAATGAGACCCATCCAAACATCTAATTCACCATGGAATATGAACACAATAATGAGTTCAATTTCCTGGATTTAAATGTAGAAAGAACAAACGAAGATACGATCGAAAAGTTCATCTATAGAAAAGAAACCTGGACTGGGCAATATCTTCACTATAACAGCTTTTGTCCCATAATCTATAAACGTGGATATATAACTGCGGAGCCTAATGAAGAAGTTATTGAAAAGAATTTTCTTCGATCTGTAATCAGTGTTTAGAGACTTCTAATGGACATCTTTGATCAGTAATTCCACATTAATTAATTTATTAGATATATCACACAGTGTGAAACAGTATTTTTATTTACTGGATAGCGTATCGAATATTATTTACTGCTCATAATCATATCATCTATTGTAACTACACAACTTAGAAACTGAAGTTTCATAGTTCTCTTTATATATCGAATCAACTAAGAGTGCATGCCATAGTGTGGTGAGTGCTACTGATATGATTTATGAGTAGCATAAAAACTTCAAATAGGAGGGAGATACATTTCATTTCAGAGAAGGTATATGATACAGCGTTATGCAGATACATGAGAGACGTGAAAGGACACAAAGAAACACAATATGAAGTCCAAAGTACCACAACACGAAGATCTGTGCAAATGGTGCGTTGACGATAAGGTATACATAATTTGGTTACACAGAGATTAAAATAAATACCCCGTTAGATAAATTTGAATAAGGCATTTGGAAGACAAATTTCACGAGATGATATCATCACTTCATAGTTTCTTGACAGTCGCTTTACAACTAATATGGTTGACAATAATAATAAAATAAAATGCATGACAATTACTCAGTTATATAAAACAAAAGTACATACTGATGACCAATCATATTTTTAAATAGGTCAAGTAGTCCATGGTAGGCGAAGGTTGAAGTCGATTGTTTTTTGTACACACAGTTTAGGCTGTATATGATTAATCCAAAGTGCTTCCATCACCTTCAATAACCTTGAATTAGAGTTATGTGAAATGATTGTGAAGCAGTCATTAATATTGATTTTGTGACCTGACATTAATAAGTACTTTGCAATGAACGATGATGGATTTCTATTCAGATTAATCGCATTAAGATTTTCTTCGTTAACCATTTTGGAATATGTTCTTTTCGACGACCATATTGGAACATTCTATTGATTCTACCTATATAGGTATCAACGCAACTGCAGGTGAACATGTAAAGATACCAATTTGCAAATAAACATTCCTTACAGTAGGAATGATTTGACAACTGTCCAGAACATTTGGGAAATTCTGCTGCTCTTACGATAAATGGGAAGGAATAAAGAAAACAACTTTACTATCCTTGACCTAGTGGTTAAAGGTTAACTTCAAGTGGCGCGATTTTTTATCCTCTTCGGCTAGACCAAAATTCACCCAGATAGTCACACAGAGTAAAAAAATTATAACATGCTTATCATCTAAAATGGCTTCCGTTTGTCGTCTGATTAGGTCCGCAGTCAATTCACACACTTGATGAATAACTTATCAATTTCAAATGAAACACTGAAGATTACTCAGTCATAGATGAAGTATACAAATAGCCAGAATAGACATAAACATTCAAAAATGGGTCATTACTACTATATTATAACTAAGGTATTTTTATGATAACCTCATATTCACTTAAGTGTTGGGGTTATCTAATGCTCTAGACGAATCTATCTACCGAATTGGTGGACAAATATTTAACTGGATATCAAATGGGTCACTGTTAAAGTATCAGTATATATATATATATTATATATATATAGACAAATAAGTATAGTGTATGTCGTCTTGATAAAATTTCAGCTCAGTTTGAATACATTGTGATTGTCAAAGACTATGAAGTTGACATTACTGTTGATGTTCTTAGTATGCTGTCTCTTAATGTCGATCACCGTCATCAAGTAAGTTAAATTGACTGACTTCATGATGAAATATTTACTTTATTTTTTCCAACTTTAAAGTCAATCATATCATCATTGTATCATTAGGAAATGTTCGTAAATAATCCGCAGAGTAAAGCCTTATCTAGAAGTAAATTGGTGGATGGTGACTAGCAGTGGAATCCAGGATACCCATTTCGCCCTATTTGGGACTCATCATCTGGATGTGCCTGCATTCCGCAGTGAGTGATGATGTTCCCACCGAGGCTCGAACCCAGTGCTCATAGTTTCAAACGCCAAAGCGTTATCCACTAGTGACGAGTCCCAAATAGAACGAAATGCGCATCCTGGATTCCACTGCTAGTCACCATACACCAATTAACTACTAATTACATGCCTAGACATCGTCGAAGCATCTGCACAAGAAGTCGACATGTCAACCTGAGACCGAGCACTTCGGTTCAATCAATCGACGGGAAAATCTAAAATTCAATTAAAGCCTTATCTGTTTAACAGCAGTTTACTTTCCTAGGGTTAATCAGGTTTATTTTCTCATTGATGTTGACTGACAGTAGAATGCAAAAAGTGTGTATTTCATTCTATTTGTGACTTCCTTAGCTGAATGTCCTTGTATTTCAAAGGAGTGATGATGTTCTCATTCAGGCTTGAATCCAGCGCCCATCATTTGAAATGCCACTGTACAACGAAAGCCAAGACTTGTGCAACTGATTTACATTCCAAGGTGAACATAGCGCTTCAACAGCACATTTCCACTTCATCCTGTTCTCCGAAATCTTTTTAGCTAGCTGTACCTCCTCTGCCCATGAGGTTTCATTTCCTCTTCACACAAACTCCTCCACGCCGAACACACTGTTCCTCATTCGAGTTCCACTCAGTATTTGCCCAGACTATCTATATTTGCTTCAACATATTTTTTCTTATTGCTATGTTTTTAAACCCTAATTGTATAAGAAGTCAATTTTCTCAGCAATTATGACCCTATCATGCATTTTTATCCAGTCTTCCTGTTTATTACACTTTGAAATTTTATTTAATTTGTCTGTTGATCGGAAACAGTTCTAAAACTTCCACACCCATTTACCATAAATACACAAATATATAGCCCAGTTGATGACTTCTTTTTGTATGGGTAGATTCCCGGTTAGTTCATTGCCAGATTTTCTAGCTATCTGACTATCTGATTTTCCATGTCGAAATAGTGAAGCCAATTTCTGACAAAAGTCTGCAGCCTAACCGGAACGCTTTTCGTGACGGGTATACCGAGACTGTAAACCCCATAGAAGAACTAAGTGACTTGACAAGAGTGTTGAAAATCTGAATATCTCCACAATAATTTTACACTGATAACCTGTTTTGCCTTTCTGATCCTGGCTTTGTCATCCTAATCAGTGCCATTTGTATTCGAAACGATGTTACCTATTTCGAGTAAGTGAAAGAGATGACTTGCTTTAGATTTTTCCCGCCGGTAGTGACTTGTGCTTATTGTTGGTTTTGGCTAAGTCTTTTCATCACTTCCATCTTCTCTATATTTACTTGAATTCCTGTCTTAGCGGTTTCAACTACTAACTTGTTGGTTTTCGTTTGTATACCTTGGATTTGTGTGACATTAGACATCAGTCATTCGCGAAGTCCAGATCTTGTTGAGTCTTCTTATCAGTCCAATGTGGGCCTGTCTTCTGGCACTTCACAGTTTGCTGCATGATCCAGCCCAGCACAGTTAGGAATATCATCAGTGATAGTAGATAGTCCCATCTTCACTCCAAAGGCATCGCAAAGTTTCCCTCTGTAAAATCACTTGACATGTAGCATCATCATATAGCTGTTGAATTAGGTTGGTAATTGCTGGTAGACGAATGTATATATATATATTTATATAAACTGTCCTTATAATTTATTGGGAATGATGGACAGATACCGTCTTGTGCATAACGCTATCCCTTTATATACTGAAGGATAGTGAAGTCAAACTGCTTATCAGTGTCATGGTTTTATTTTTTTCATTTTATTTATTTTTATTCCTTTACTTTCCCAGTGGAACATAGGGATTGAAGCTAGAGCTTTGAAGTTTCAGTAGCAGTGGTATTTATATTTACGTGATGGGGTTGCTAGCCTCATGCCCAAACTTCCCTCTTTATCAGTCTTATCACTGGCTTAGTGAGGTAAAGGAGTACGTCAGCAGGAGATCGAACCCCTAACCACCTGCGTGGTTGGCGAGCATCCTACCACTCTGCCACCAACGCACATGCCGCAGTTAGTACCTGGCATAATTTGTATTTTTGAATAACTTAGAGCAGAATTTTCCGTTTAAATCCTTATTATGCCTACTTAGACGAGAAAATCCTTCACTCTGTCAAACTTAGTTATTGCATTAAACCTCCGTATGGAAACTGTAAGTCTAGGAACGCTGTACTGCTGAATAATGCTAATATTACTCTTTTTGCAATAATTTCTCTTTCAGAGCAGCAACAACGGAGAAGGTAGTTCATCATGAAGAGGAAGATGATGACGATGATGATATGCTTGGAAAAGATAGTGGATCGGTAAACCGATTGATTTTAATTTATACAAAATATCAACTAATATCTACTGTTTTGCAGAAACAAATCCTTTATGTACTATGGCAATCGTCTAAAACAGGACGTAGACATGTATACAAAGTAATTGACAAGTATCTCAAAAAGGAGGATTTAGACAAGAAATTATTAGAAATCGCCAAGATTAGTAAGTTGTTTACCGACACAGAAGTAACCTTTCCTCTAATTTTTCTTTCTTTCTTAATTTCACCTAATCAGTAGGTCAACGATTCGAAAAACGTATGGAATACTTTGCACAAAAGCTGGATGCATTACTCAATTATGAAACATCATAGTTATGATATGCAATATTTTTGAAGAATTGTTTAAAATTCATCAGTAAATATAGGCAATAGTTATTAGTTACACTAAATGTTGTTTTGATTTTGACTTTTGAAATGACTAAATAGGTAACCGGTTGACGTGGTGTATCAAATACATTTCTAAATGTATACAGCTTCTCTTTTCAATATAACGTCTACAAAACAATTGGTAGGAGTGAGGTTGAACCTTGATATGCGCGGATCAATTATGCTTTTTGTTAATTTGCGACAACTTCGTGTAGGAATGAGAGTAATTTGGGAGGTGATGACTAGCAGTGGAATCCAGGATGCGCGTTTCGTCCTATTTGGAACTCGTCATCTGGATGTACTTGCATTCTCCAGTGAGGTTCTAACCAAGTATCCATGGTTTCAAACGCCAAGGCAATATATATATATGTTTATATACTGAGGGATATATTGAGTGATTAACTTTTGAACAGCACTCAAAAATACCAAATTACAATGTACACACAGTGCTTAGTCAGATATAAAGATTAAAGTCAGTAATGTATGTTATTTCTAAATAAGGTTGTAAAGCTTCTCAGTAGGAACACCACAAACCACTGAGATAAACGTTCATCCACCGATAAGTCCAGAATAAGACTAAACGTGCATCAGAAATTCCAGTATCAATTACCATTAACAAAATAACACGCTATTATGAAGCGTCTAGTTATTAGCAGAGAGTATTAATCATTTTAATACTGTGTTGAACAAGTAAGTGTAATTCAATTTGAACCTTCCCATTCATTGATTGGATCAAAGAGTTCGTCATCTGGTGACATATTGACTGCTTATGCAGATGCCTTGACAATATCTGAGGATTTAATTCGTACATCCAGATGACGAGTTCCAAATAGGATGGAACGCGCATCCTGGATTCCTCTGCTAGTCACCGCCTCCCAATTTACTTCAAGAAAGTCCACGTTCTAAAGTGCAACGTAATCGTGTGTAATAATAACAAGAGTGGTAAGATTAATGCTGCGCGAGCGAGGCTTTTGTTACCATTAAACGAAAATTATCACAATTTTTAATTGAATTAAAAAGATTTTCAACGAAAAATAAGGAAAAGTAACACAATCTCGCCATTTTTATCAATAATAGCAGCTTTTCAGATTATAGAGTTTTGTACGGATTAAAATTAATTTCAATTTAGATGTTGTTACGAACCAACATGAGTCAGAGATCATTCAAAACCAAGGAGCACTAGACAGCTGTATAATCCTAGTCGGGGACTCTAAAGAAAAGCATAAACACCACCCCACTATGGCTCAGACCCAGAGGCTTCAGGCACGAGATCAAGTACATGAATTCTGGTTCATGACAGAGTCTACATTGAAATAACAGCTTTATACGGGATAAAAACGCCTACACATGGTATAGAAATGTCAAAGTAATGCACATCGGTAGTTTGAAAGTCAATCAAAAAAGTGGCTGTAAGTTTCGGTAGTCAAGGACAAAACTGCATGACAATAAGAATTACAGGAAATCATGAGCAGTAAGTGACTGAGTATTCCCTTTCCTGGTTCATTCTACTGATTTTCAGATAACGGAGACGATGTTTCAGTCAGACAGGTGTTTTCGATGCGGCTACCTTCTCTGAGCTGGGTAGCTTGTTTGAAACGCTTTTGCTGTCCTCTTAGGCAACGTCTTCAGCACATACTTCAATAGGAGGTCGGATGGTTTGGAATCACCTTAGTTACATAATGAAGCATTATTTTTGAGTGATTTAAGGAGAAGTTTTGTTCATTCCACTTTTGATCTATCGTCAGTATTGGTGTACAGAGCCACTGGAAAATTAGTTGTATTGTTGGTAGTTGTAAGAAAAAGGTATTGCTGAAATAAGTTCTCTGTCACTATACTGATTAGAACTCATGTCAAGGTTCTTGTGTTGTCATCTAAATCTTTGTGTAACATTCGAAAATGGATTCCCCATTGCAAATCCTGTCGTCCATAACCTGAGTACACAAAAGTGCACTTATAGGTTCGCAAGACTCATAGATCTTTTGTATTTAGGCGTTTACATAGATATGCTCATGTCTCATAAACTCAAAACTATAATCATCCTGTAATTCCAATAATTTCACCATAAACATTTCAGAACAAATCGCCTTTGTTAATTCAAAAAACTCTGATTACCTATACCATACAATAAAATGCCTTGATTCCCAGTTCACTTAGGTCACTTTAGATCTATTTGCAGAATTCATTTGGTTATCTATGTAATTCAGAGAATTTAGCGACTATTTCGTCACTTAGATCTTTCATCAACTGTGAAAATCTCCTCTAAGTAAGATGAATGATGATTTCTATAGAATGAACTTTGAAGTCATTTCATATTGACTGCATATAAATAATTTTAACTTCAAACCCGTTTACAGTACACCGTGTATAAAGGGAAGTCTTCCACTTCATTGCCTACTGAAGCTGGTGTCCCTCAAGGCGCTGTCCTTTCTCCTTTTCTTTTTTCTTTCTTCTTACATGACTTGCCTCAGTCTGGTAAAATAAATTTTGTGAAGTATGCTGATGATTTAACTGTTTCAATGGCTGTTAACTCCCAGCTAGATTGTACCAAAATAAATAGCTTTCTGTCGGAAGTCAGTAAATGGTCTGAGTCTAACGGTCTTAAACTGAATCCTTCTAAATGTCAAACTGTTAATTTCAGCTTAAGATGTAAACGACAGTTAAAAGAAGCCGTCGATTCTCATAACAGTTGTAAGATTTATGACAATGATATAGGAATTAAATCAGAAATTAAGTATCTTGGACTTATTCTCTGTTCTGATCTCTCCTGGTCTTCCCATGTCTCAGCGATCTCCAGTGAAATATTCCGCCTGACATTTGACATTAAGAAGTTAAGGCACTCGGGTATAACTCAACCCCTCCTCTTACAGTTCATAAACTCTTGCATCCTACCTATTCTTCTTTATTGTTCACCCTTATTCTTTCCTGGTTTGCTTAAAAAGGACTTTGTCACAATTCGTAGAATGCTGAAGACGGTCAGTAGGGTGAATGGTGTCCCAGTGGACTACATAGTTAACGTCGTTGTCGATAGGCATTTGACTTCGTGCAGTAAATTTGCTAAAGGGATTTTGTCTGACTTGGAGCATCCACTTCACCTTCAGCTTTCATCTTGCATCTCCTCAGGTAGAACAAGAAGTAACTTCAGAAAACTGTATGCTCGCACGTCTAAGTATAAAAATTCTATGATACCATACTTGGCACGTATTTTATGTGATGAAAATAGCGTCAGGCAAGAACTGACTAACCTTTTTTCATCTAGTAAATAAACAATTTCCTCCATCCATCTTTATATACCTTCAAGTTTTACTTTTATTATTTCTATTATATTTATGGTCCTGTTGCTTCTTTGTTTTACTCTCATAATTGCAAACACCAACTTATCTCTATGACTGCTGTAATCTTTGTTTTTTCCCTCACCATATCATGTAAAGAGAACATTATATTCAATATTTTTAAACATGCTAGGATTTCTATACCGCATCGACAATACTGTGTGAAACAAGCCCACGGCAATTTCCACTTGTATTATTATTATTACCTTAGCTGTTATCATTATTATTATTTCCATTTTATATGCTGCATGTTTTTTTGACATTACCCCTATTGTAAATGTAGAAGAATTTTCTGTGTGATTAATTTTATTTATAATTTGAGGAAATTAGATGCAATATTGTGATTAATGCTGAAAATTCCATTCTGTATCACAAGTACTGTTTTCGGAATAAAGTAAATCATTATTATTATTATTATTATTATTACAAAGAGCCGAAAACAAGTGTCGATGGTTGGTTTGGATAAATTTGATCGATTTCAATTGTGGTCACGAAAAAACAACAGCTAGAGGACCACTAAAAACCAAAGAGTACTAGATGGCAGTTTCGTTTTAGTTTTGGACTGTTGGCCAGAAAGCACCCACGATCTTACTCAGGATCGAACTCAGTACCTTCAGGTTACGAGGCAGGGCAGAATTCAATCGCTCATGAATTCTAACTCCTTCTAGTTTGCGGTGTATAGCGCTCCAATACCGGCTAATATCACCGGGAAGTACTTCTGCTTGCACAAAACTTTGTAGAGCCCAGTGATTAGGAATTTCCATTAGAAATACTGACAATTCTGTCAAGTGGTCAGTTCCTGGTGGGTGTTAGATTAGTTTTACAAGTGTTGACTTACGCGGATTTGATTGGTCTCAATTGAGATCATGTATGCACTTCGTTATGACACTGTGATATGAAAAAGAAATGTAGCAGTTAGACGTCACCTAGGTTTTGATGATGTTAATGGGTTTTAATTGTGCTTCAAGTAATCTTGGACAAAATCCACGCACCAAAATATATCAGTTAACTTAAATTTTTATTATCAAGATAGTGGTATACGATTTTCTCCAACATTACTCTCAAATCTTTAAATATTCTCATTATTGATATTAGAACAAGACATATAAGCGAACAATATTGTTGTTTTCAATTAGATCTTCTTCAGGCTTTACTCTAATTTACATAGATTTATATATAAAATATTTTAACCAATGACGGTGATTTTGTGGATCAAATAATGATAATAATAATAATGTGGTAAATGTTTTGAACGTCGTTAATAACGATGATTATAATGATAACAAAATATTGACAATTAGGTTTATGCAGGTGGCGATAAGAATAACAAAGGTAGTAATATGTGTATATGTAGACAATTCAATAAATAAATACATTAGGTCAAATCTTAGAAGTTACGTAATACTAATAGTGAAGTGGACAGGCAATCAGATTTTAAATAAATAACATAAAAATATGAAGGAGATAGAAAATAAGAAAGGGTGGGAGGATTTTGAATAGAATTCAACTAGGCCAAGGGAGAGTCAAAGGTAGAACAAACTTCTTTTGTATGCAAAGACTACGATTATTCTCTCGAATTCCCATAGCTTCGGCTAGGTGTAAAAGACGGGTTCTGAT